TTGTTTTTGTAATCTTTTTTTATTTTTTACGTGTAGCGATACAAACAAAAAACTTGTGAAGACCTGTTCTCATTGTGGGGGAAAAATGTAGACATACACTGGTTATTGTTAACAGTGAATGGAAGTCAGTGCAATCCTGAAATTAGAACAGTTCAAGGGTGTGTGTGTGTGTGTCTGTGCATGTGGGCTAAAAGCAAGATGTTAAAGTCCAGTATTGTAAAGTATTCTTTGATGTTTTATCAACCGGTGCGTTTGAAAATGTGTTGGCATGCCAACACGCTGAGTGTTTTGTGACCGTGAGAAATCACTTTCTGCCAGCAACTCTGCAATGCTGCTGAGCACTGGAGTTTCATCAGATACTCGTTGTAGTAACCTTTACACATTCCTCCAGTTAACCGCACAAACACAAACAAATGTTTCCATACTTGACTTGAGGACGTTGTGTTTAGGGTGTGTACTTTGTGAAGGTGGTGAAATCATGAATCCTAGATGAAAACTTCACTCCATCAAGATGAACACACCCACAACGTTAAGGAATGCCAAAGTAAGCATAAAGGGGTGTATTCATGAGTCCAAAGGTTTGAGATTTTCTCTTTTGTGTTCATCATTCACCTCATGCTTAGGGAATACTTTGATTATGCTTATCTTGATCTGTTAATTTGTTTTTCTGAAACATTTTACAATTCAACTAAGTAGGTTTATATCTACATAAAAAGGTGTCTTTACTGTTTTAAGGGTTGACATAAAAAGGTTTATTTTACCAATGTAATTCCCTACAAATGTAATCACTTCCTCAACCTTAAAATTAGTCTTTGATTTGTGTCAGATTAGTTTCAACACCCTTAAAAGACACCCATAAAAAGTGTCACTGTTCAGTTGCAAAAGACCTTTAATTTGATTTGTGATTGAATCCATAATTCTCTTGCAATGGTTTGCTTTTTGTCAGTTTTTAATAAGGATTAAGTATCTCCAATGTATGAACTAAGTGGCTACATTATCATTACTATTATACTTGTTAATTCAGGGAAATGGTATGAAAGGTTGGGTTATGTCGTATCATGCATAGCAGCACAAAGCAATTTAGCATGATGATAATGAAAATATATGCATGTTTGGTTTTTTTTGGGCTGCATGGGAGTGGCCTTCCTGTGTGGAGTGTGCATGTTCAGCCAGTGTATATGTGGGTTCCTTTCAGGTACTTCATCCAAAATGCTGAAGTTAAATTAGTTATGTCTAATCTAGACCAAGGTGTGACTGGGTGTTTGCCCCTGTGTGGCCCTTTGATTGGCTGGCATCCTGACCAAGATGTATTGAGCCTGCTGTCCTGTAGCAGCTGAGATACATTCTCACCCTTCCATTAACTTTTCTGTAAAAAGATGATAAAAAGCAAGACTGGGCCATAATACAAAAAAATGAACTAACATTGAGAAAAGAACAACCCATACCCAAAAAACAAGGAATAGATAGCAGGGAACAGGAGGACAAAGAACACAGGAGACATGAACAGGCAACAACAGAACGCATGGAAGGGTGCTTACAACTGTGGAAAGCCAATCAATGGACAAGGATCTGGCAAAGAGTGACAGAACCAGGAGAGCTCACATACAGGTGTGAGTGGTTACTGAATGAAACCAACTGACAATAAGGAGCACAGATAAAAGGAATGGAGCTGATGACCAGGATGGAAAAGTACTGAGGAGACTAAAGGAGAACACAACAAGCGAAGCTAACAGAGACGTAGAAGGAGGGGGCAGGAAACCGAGGAGAGACATTACAATAAAACGCACAAAACAAAACAATAAAGAGAGAAATTCATAAAGATAACTAAAAGTAGAACCAATGATCAGGAAAAACAGAAACTAAAATCAGAAACAATCATTAACAATCATTTTTGCAAGGAGGGTCAGGAGGGGCAGAGACTTCCAAACCTTCAACTCAAGGAAAGAGAGAAAGGGGGAAGCCATGACTATCACAGTAGCGCTGTTACTAATAATATTTTCCCTGTTACGTTTTGGGTGAAAGCTTTTTCTCAGCAAGTGGTGCTAGTAGACTGTAAACTGTTTACATGCCTTTCGGTTCCATTCCTATGCACGTTTATGATGATACTGCAGGGCATTGGTTTTGATTGCAACACTAGTGAGATTAGTTCGGTAATGTCTTTTAGATCGTAGACTGATCAGATTTTTAAGTGCACCGCCTAAAGATAATGCAAATCAGATATGATTCTGAAAGGTTTTCAGATTAGTTTGACCCTTAACTCTGTTACTCAAACCAAAACAAATAAGAAGTAGTAAAAAAGTCAACAGTAAGTTTTCACAATCCTATTTTAGATAGAGATAGAAACAGACAACTTTATCATTTTTAGTTGTGCACATCTTATGAATAGTTGACATAAAGCAAATCAGCCCAAGGCTTAAGAAGCAGGAGCTGTTCAGCAGGTTTATTAGACAAGAGAGTGCAATAACTCAGCAAAGGTAACTTAACAGTACCTGAAAAAAGGAAAAAGGAAACCACATAAGACTTGACAGGTTGAGTTCCTTGTTTTAAGTGTCAATCCTCTTGGTTGCCTTTGGCTATCAAGTTGCAATCAGTCATAAAAGAATAAAGAGAGTTTCTTTCAAATAATTTGTCATTTGCAAAGAAGGTCGTTTGTCTGCATTGTAGATCAATTTTGTTTATTAGGTTGACTGCACTTATAGAGGGAGGACAGTTTCTAGAAATGACAGGAGGGATGAACAGAGCTTGACTGTGAAATACTAATTCATTTGTATAGAACAAAGCTTATAGAAATATCACATTAAAAAGGATGAAGCCAGTTAATCTTCACCTCAGTCTCCTGTTGACCTATAGCAAATCCCAACATGCATCAGTTTATGCCAAACATGCAAACAATGGAGTAATTCCCACACATCTATGGTTTGACCTGACTTGACTTTAAAGATATCTAAACCTATATGAAAACCTTGTTCCTCTGCTGTAACAAAAATCCTCAAACTGGTTGTTTTCTGTACTACAGTACATGCAATAGCAGTCTGAAATGAATGAGAGGCTCTTACTACAAATATTCTGCATTAATCATGATTCATCATATGTAATGTCTGTTCTTTGCCTGGCTACTCATTCAAAATCAGTATACACAAGGATATCCTTCAAAGCCACACCTTAGACATAGTACAGTGTCCACACCCAGTTTACACATACTTCCAGTAGTACAAAGTTAAACACCCGCAAAGTAGATATCAGTGTGAAGGCTAATTCATTTTAAAATGCTGGTTTAAAATGTCTTATGAGACTCAAAAAATATGCATCTCTGTAAAAATGTTAACAGCCATATCTTTATGTTACATAAAGCCTAAATAATCTTAAAAACATAACACCTATCTTCCGATACAATTTTATGTTTGAGAGTACGCAGTACAAGGGAGCCAACTGGGTAAGAAGTTGTATGAGAGCTGTGAGAGCTGCGAGAGCTGCGAGAGCAAGCTCAGAAGCTCAATAAGGGTTTAAATTCCTCAAACTTTGCTTTCACTTGACAATAATTCAACAAACAAACTATAGAAAAGAGGACTGTGCATAATGTCACAGGCTGCACATGTCAGGTTCTCTATATTCCAAAGAGAAACAATGCCAATATGTTGGTGAGCGTTCTCCGTTGTTAATCAACACGCAAACTCAAAATCTGAACCTTATCCCAACTATGAACCCACAGCAGTGCACAGGGTTCATCAGCCTGACAAAGCCACAAACATCTGTGTTTAGACATCTGGTATTGAGAACCTTGAGTTTTTGTAGGAATTTAAGGCTTCAGTGTCTAAATTATAACGCTTACAACAAGCAGAGACACCACTGATGAGGGCACATTCTTATTCCCTTAAAACTTTTGTGAAAATGTATTGAATATGACATCTCCCTAGTGTACCTTTTTCTTTTTTCAAACCTTAGAACAATGCAGTTTAGACCACACACTAGTGCCTCACCCAGCTCACACCACTATTGTGTGGTTTGATTCATTGGTGTCACATAGCCCTCTAGTATGTGCATGAGTATACTTAAAAGACATGGCACTGCTGGGAAAAGGTGAAAAACTAGAGATTTTTTGCAACACGTTCCTTTCTTTGATACATGATTAAAGAGCTGTGTGATAAAATGCGTGCATTTAAACGTAAGATTGAAGTTGCTATATTCCTCTAAGTATTTTTTTTAAGGAGGTGGAGATTTGAGCTTCAGAGTTAAAATCCACACCTGGGTAGCAAATTAAAGGCAAGTGTATGTGAAAAGCTGGGGGAGAATTCAATCGAGTGCAGGCCGGAAAAAAGAAGTGTGGTGAAGTGTAGAATCAAAATGAATGTGTGAAGGAGTGAAGTGCTTTTTCTGCTAAAACGCTGACATTTAGGTAAAAAAAACTTGTAAAGGTTACATTAACATTTTACCTAATGAGTAAGGCTGTGTTCTGTGGTTTGAAAGATTCATTCAGTCACAGCATCAGAAAATGGATGAGCCTACTGAATGGAAAAATTATAAACTTTACACAGTTGTTTATTTTGTGCATCAGAAAAACGGAATTCTAATAGTTTATGTGAGTGAGGTGCTGTTTATTAAGTTATTTGATTTCCAAATGAAAAATAGAAATAGAGCGATTTAAAAAGAATTGTGAAAAAGTCTGTGTTTCATGACTTACTCTAACCTCGACTACCTTTTCTCTTCTTGCATGGAGCCCGTCCTGTGGCAGGGCGTGCCGCGGCTTATCTCCTGGCAAACCCTCCCTACCAGTCTAACAGGACTGGCCACTCCTGTCTTTCAGGCCCAAAGGCGTGTCGGCTTAGGCCTGACAGCAATAGTGAGAGGGCAGGTTGAAGGATTCCCTCCCACTTTGCTCAGGACATCCATAAAAGCAGGTAGAGTCGGCAGACAGACACTCAGAGGGATTTGGCTCTCCTTTTGAAGCCTGCACATCTTCAGCTCTTTTTTTTTGCTCAGCCCGTAGACACCCCACTGCAGATATGAGGAAGGCAATGTCAGTCACAAGCTCCTACAGCACCAGAAGGTCAAACGCTACACCGGTCAGCACCAGAACCAGCTATGCGTTGGGCTCTGCACCCAGCTATGGTGGTGGTTTCAGCATGTCTTCAGGAAGGTCCGGTGGTTTTGGGTTTTCCTCAGGCCAGTCAATGGGCAATTTTGCTCAAGCACCCATCACAGCTGTTCAGGTCAACCAGAGCCTGTTGGCCCCTCTGAACCTGGAGATTGACCCCAACATCCAAGCCGTCCGCACCCAAGAGAAGGAACAGATCAAGACTCTCAACAACCGCTTTGCCTCCTTCATTGACAAGGTTGGTACCTGTGAGCTCTTAAAATGTCTTTCTTTGATCTATAACAAAAAGGAAAAGTACTTTTGTCCATCTATCTGCATTTGACCATATCTCTGAACTACAACATCTGGGAAGTAGAAAGTTCTAGCAAATTTGATCACAGTGTGAATGTTCCACGTAAATATACCTTTACATTTGGCAACATCTGCATGAACAAAGTGTTTCTCTGCCCTCTTACTAAACATGGGTGGTAATTATATTGTAGTGACGCGCCCATTTCTCATTCAGGACACACGGATATATGTGCCCTATACCCACAAAGTCCAAAGTCTGCTATTTGCACATTGCACATATCAGCTGGTTGTTAAGGGCAACGTGAATGTTAAGTACAGTGGTGTGAATAAGCTTTCACTAGTTTGTGGGGTGAAGATCACAGTCTGCAATGATACTTGCTAACTTTTCATATTCTATACCTTCTTAAGCCTTTACATTCAATAAGCTATTACTTAGACAAGAAAGCACTTGTCTCATTGTATTGTCGTGCTTTGTCTTCTGTGCTCTATCTGCCACACCTATTTTTTTATGACTGACAAAACTGTGTGGCTTTCATGGCCTTAACAGAGCAGACAGGATGAGTCATAACTAAACAGGAGAAGCTATGGCAGATCGTTTTACAGTCACTGTCACATGCTGGATACATCTGGATTGCACACTGTTTATCATACAAAGATATATCATATCAAGAACATGTTTATACATTAAAGGTTTTCAAAAAGGGATCTTCGACACATTTTGGCATTCATGACAAGCATGAACAATATGCGTTCGAATTGTCATCATGAGTTGGGATTTTTGCAGCAAGGGTGTGGCCTTTTAGATAGATATACATATACCCGAGTAATTTCCCACAGATGAGCCGCTTTGAAATATTTTAACTTCAAAGAGACACCCTTATGCGCTTTGTTTTTTAACAAATTCTCCTATTTTCTCAATTTTCTCTTAGAGTAAATAATTAACCTTTAGCCGCCCTAAACCACTAATGATCCATACATTCAATATAACAGTGAACACTGAATACACATTTATTTGAAGGTGTTTTGAGCAGTGAATAATCATTCTTTTTGTTTTCTCTACAGGTCCGTTTTCTGGAGCAGCAGAATAAGATGCTGGAGACCAAATGGAAACTCCTGCAGGAACAGACAACCAGCCGCTCCAACATCGACAGCATGTTTGAGGCCTACATTGCCAACCTTCGCAGACAGCTTGATGGGCTTGGCAATGAGAAGGTCAAGCTGGAAGGAGAATTGAGGAACATGCAGGGCATGGTTGAAGACTTCAAGAACAAGTCAGTGATTATGTGATTTACTCAGGAAAATGCTAATGTACTATTTTGCAGGGGGAGCATGCTCACGTGCTTCCTTGTGTCCCAACAGGTATGAGGATGAAATCAACAAGCGTGCAGCTGCTGAGAATGAGTTTGTGCTTTTGAAGAAGGTGAGAAAAATACAAATTGGGCTCTTTTTCTACATATCTGAAGTTTAATGTGACAAATTCTGACGCTTTCTTTTTTAATAATCTTGTTTTAAGGATGTTGATGCTGCGTACATGAACAAGGTGGAGCTGGAGGCCAAAGTTGATGCTCTCCAGGATGAGATCAACTTCCTCAGAGCTGTTTATGAGGCTGTAAGTACAATCTTATGAAGGCCATTGTAATATACACTTCATCATATAATAGTCCATATTTTTTTAAATTGTCTGTATTCTGTAAAAGTCAATTGAAGATGACAATTAATTGTTTCACAACAACCGTTGGTTCTGTAGGAGCTTCGTGAGCTGCAGGGCCAGATCAAGGATACCTCTGTCATTGTTGAGATGGACAACAGCCGCAACCTCGACATGGATTCTATTGTGGCTGAAGTGCGGGCTCAGTATGAAGACATTGCAAACCGCAGCAAGGCTGAAGCAGAAACCTGGTACAAACAGAAGGTGGGTAAATCAAAATCAATGTTTTTCCCAGTTTATTCCATGCATTAGGAAATACTAATACCATACTAAGAATCATGCTCTTATTACACATGATGTTTTTTATGACAGTATGAGGAGATGCAGAGCTCTGCTGGCCAGTATGGTGAGGACCTGCGCACAACAAAGGCTGAGATTGCAGAGCTGAACCGCATGATTTCCCGTCTTCAGAATGAGATTGATTCAATCAAGGCACAGGTGAATATCACAAAGCTTTTGAAGGTGGTAGTTCATTGCTTAAAAAGATTTCTTTTGAACTCATTTGAGCCACAATTGTCTGCAGAGAGGCAACCTTGAGGCTCAGATCGCAGAGGCTGAGGAGCGCGGTGAGCTGGCTGTCAAGGATGCCAAGCTCCGCATCAGGGATCTGGAGGAGGCCCTGCAGAGAGCCAAGCAGGACATGGCCCGCCAAGTCCGCGAATACCAGGAACTGATGAACGTCAAGCTTGCCCTCGACATTGAGATTGCCACCTACAGAAAACTCCTGGAAGGAGAGGAGATCAGGTGGGTTTAATTAAACATTCAGTGTTTCATAGTGGCAATATATGTGTTTCATTTCTGAATTCAGAACTAACCTTCCAATTTTGTCATAATCAGACTGGCCAGTGGAGGCTCCAACGCCACCATCCATGTGCAGCAGACCTCCGGAGGTGGGGGTAAGTGTCTGTTTTCTTACATGGTCATCATATATTGTACATGAATAAGCATAGCCACCCGGTTAAAACAAATGAATAACCGCTCTTGTGTTTTTACAGGAATGTCCATGTCCAGCTCCGGCGGTGGATTTGGATATGGTGGAGGTTATGGAGGGGTTGGTGGTGGCACCATCACCAAATCCACAGTCTCATCAACCAGTTCCAGGAGAATGTATTGAAATCAGTAAAAAGGAGAGCCATCCCTCTTTCCCCTCAGAAAGTCTTGAATCAAGTCTAAATCTGTACCCTTTTATGGTGCTATGCAACACTGTCAAACATGTTCAACAAGTGTGCTGAGCTTCCCAAAAAACAGTGATTCTCTAGTGCAGCTTTATCCTCTGTTCTGCCCAAAACTATGAAACATGACTTTCTGAGGGTTCAGGTCAGTTTGCATGCCAATGTTTTTTTTTCTTTGTGCACTGACATCCAATAAGTAATGGGAAAAAAACTAAAGTGCATGCGGAGTGTGTCAACTAGGCAAGGAAAGTATTTGAGGATCTATGCTAATCAGTTATCATTTTGCACTGTAGATTACTCTGAAAGATCCCTCAGCCCACATGTTATCAGTTTTTACATGTGAGTGTTGACATTATTAAAAAGAAAGAGGCCAAGTCAAACCACTTGAGATGTACAAGATTGAGAAATTGTACGGATTTAGATGTTTACAGTTAAACCTTGAGCCAAGTTGTTTCTGCCTTGCTCTTTTTTTTTAAACATGTTCTATGTTTCCTTGCTTAGTTTTGCCTCCCATTGCCCTGAAACTAAAAATGTGCAAAAATACAGATTTGTTTTCCTTCTCGGCAACATGATTGAAAAATGTTGCAGAAAACTGTATGAAATAAATCTGAGAAAAAAAGTGCTTGCCTCTCTTTTTTATTGTAGTTGTGGTAAGTGAGAGAAAAGAAGATGTTTCACATGGGGGCAGTACTGCGCCAAGATGGTTTATTATCTGACCATGCAGTCACCAAGAGACATCGTCTACATTTTCACGGGGAGTGCTCTTTAATACTTCTTTTTAATATCCAAGCCAAGACAGATTGCAGTTTTACAGTTCAGAGAGATCACTTAAAGACTCAGAGAAGAGAATATTAAACAACAATTGATGCCATAAACTCTCATTCAGGCCATTCAGACTTTGGAAGATATGGACAGATTTTGTAGCACCACCTTCTCATACTGCTTTTTTGTCATAGTGGCTTCAGTGTCCCTCATATAGCTTGACTAGCCTGTTCATAAAGGCAGGGTGTGGCAGCAAAGAAAAGAAGCACATTGGGAGGTCTGAAAGATAAATTCTGTAGTTACTATAAAAGTGCCTGCAAGCAATTATTCAGAGAGTTTGGGATGATAGCAGGGACAGATAACCAAGTTTTGTCATGATACTTTGGATCAAAAACTGTTGAACAGGTGAGTTATAACTTTTTGCCATGTAAATCTTGCGACATAAAGTCAGACATAACTTTGTAGTCTGACAAGTCAGACTTTAGAAATGCCACCCTCAGATCAGTATACTTACACAAATCTTTTAAACCCTTATTTACATGTACTTCCTGTACCCAGACTGTATTGGCAGGTTAAAAAGAAATGTCTTTTATTCCTCTACACCTGGGGCTCAGAGTGCTGGCAGTGATCAGGCATATGATTATCAAATTTGGACCTGGGAGAGTTATAGTTGCCAGATGACTGTCAACTGTTTACACTACAACTATTCACCCTTCTATTAAATCACTTAAATTACAACTTAAAGGATTAAAGGTGACGCATCGTTGCACCCTGAGGAAGGCAAAAGAAAATCGTATTCCTGTCAATCTTCCATTTAGCCTACAGACAAAATTCTCTGTCTTGGATCAAACTCAAATTCATTTTTGTTTGAACAAGTAATGGAATAGCTTGTTCAATTATCTTCTCTATTTAATGATACATAATTTGTCCAACTGTGCTACAGTGTAATTACCATTAAATATAAATAGGAACAATAAAGTCAAGACATTAGAGGTTGTAAATTGCTGCAAATTAGTACTACTATTTGTATATGTAGTGCTCGGATAGCACAACTAGTGTGCTCGTCCTTGAGGTGGATCACTGGTCTTACCGTCTCGGAACTCCAATTCTCTGTGTCAGCAACCCTTGTCACAAAGCACGTAATGTGCTTTTCAAACAGAGCTACCACATTACAAGAGAGTGCAATTAATGATTCCTGCAGGTCACATTAACAAACACAAACGTGCATTGTTCCATTTGAGGAAATGGATACGGGATAACATAGTCTGCATTTGAAATAAAAACAAATGTACGATATTGCATTTTATGATAGTTATTTTCATAATCTTGTCACAGAGTTACCATGAAAAACTAAAGAAGTTTGTAAGAAGTCTTGTTATCTGGTTGGGTTTCTTATTCAGCCAAAATTGCCTAAACGTTGAACGCACAGATGCTGCATATCTGTGTTAGACCTCCTCTCACATGATCAGATAGTGCTTGAACAACTTGTGGAGGATATACTTTCTCTTAAGATGTCTGTTTACACATGGATGTCATGGTTACTGAACGGGTGGAGTTTGTCAGAAACAATATTCCTCCTTGCACAATATACAGTAAAATGAAAAGAAAAAAATGAAAAAAACATTTCCATGTCATGTTTGGGACAACTTCTCGTCTTCTCGCTGTGATAGTGCTACAGAGTATGACTGAAACACTTTGCATGGCTAAGAAAAAAAGAAAATCCAGAGGGTAAACTCTCACAGAAGGACAACTTGAAATAGTTAAGACTTATAAAGAATAGATAGTAACAATATGATAGATATGATGATAACCCACACCCTAAGTTTAAAATATAATTTAATAAAATGAAATAGCATGGCCAAATTATTTGGGTTCTACATTTTGATCTTTTGATGTCTTTTTCCTTTGTCATATTCCTGTTCTTATGTATCTGGTAACACATGAGTCATCATGTGATTCCAGCCAGAGAAGAGCAAAGTTCATCACACTGACTCATCAATGAGAAAATTACCTTTGATTTTATTGGCCTTACAACTGTGTGAAAACACCCTCTTCCTACACAGTAGTGGAGGAAACTGTCCAGAGTAAATGAGAGATTGGGCTTAGCCTTAACCCATGCTGAACACCATAATCAATAAACAACACACCTTCCACAAACCCTCCCCCCTCCATCAATACTGGTGAATATCAGCTGTTTAAATAGGAAATTCTGCACATGAGGTGAGTACAGGTCAAATCGTTTAGTTTCTTTGTCAGGTGGTGATGGGATGACTCTGTGGGTGCTTTCTTTACTCATGTGGTGAAGATCCCGTGCACACACTACTAACTGCAAAACATCATACTGAAAATCTTCATGTTCCTGTTTTCTCATTTAGTAGAAGGTTTGGATAATGCTAGGTTCATACAGTTTTTTTTTGGGGGGGGGGGGGGGGGGATTTGCAATGTGCTATATGTTGTTTTTATTGTTCCTGGAAATCTCCAACCTGCACTGTAAAGTAACATTGTCTACAGAAATAGTTATTTGTTCCTATTTTTATCTTTCTCTTGTATTGAACTCTCTGATTACAAAAAAGTACAAATAAAAGAACAAAAAGTGTCCAAATGCATTTATGTAGACTTTAAAATGAATTAAACACTCTCTGCATCTATTTGAGCAGCTTGGTTTTCATCTATCACTCTTAGCTTTGCTGTGAGGATGGTTAAACCTTCACAATAATGCTCCATCCCAACAGCAGGCGCCTCAAAACATTTCAAGTTTGCGAGCCACCTTAAAAGACATCTTATGAGATGTTAGTTTTTGCACTTATATTCTCTCTCAACTCCCACGTTGTATGTAGAATTTATTAATAACATCTAACACTATTCAAATATTTTCCCTAAACAGCTCAAATATTTGATAATTACTGAGAAAAACATGTTTAATAACCAGCGTCTTTCTCTATTTAATTGGATATTTCTATGATTTCCAAATACTTGTTTTTTTCATCCACATTCATGTTTGCCACCTGTTTAGTGACTACATTGAAACCAGAGATGGATGCTTCCTGTTTCAAAGATTAATTATTTCTTCAAGTATCATTACAAGATTATATATATGCAATATATAAGTTGTACAACAAAGCTACTAACCTAGAGGAAATATTTCCTGTGTTATTCTGGCTGAAATAAAAAACAAACAAACATTTACATTCATCAAAACTGTCGAAAGGAATTTAAATGTTCCTAAGGACCATTTTCAAAAATACAAATCAAGCGAACTGTCAGTAAAACAAAGGGCACTTATTTGGTAATGTGTTTTGTCAGAATTTCCTTTTGGGTTGCTTTTCTAAATGGTGGCCTTAAGGTGTTGTTTCATTAAATGAGATAAATGTGTAAGTCAGGGTAGATTAACTGACACAGGCAGAAAAAAGGCTGCTTAGTTTTAGTACTGCTGCTCTCCCTCCAGCTGAAGTTTTATAGATCTTTACCATTGTTATTCATGTTAAACACTGAAAATCGCAAAATCAAAGCCTCCCCCCATCATCTGCATTTTGTTTCATACAGAAAGTATTGCTTTTTGTTTAATGAGATTCACCAAAGAGCATACATTGAAGTAGTACTGAATGTTTGACCATGTGTCCTGCACAAACACTGCTCTTATCCACAGGCCCGCCCTACCTCCCTCCTCTGTGAGACAAGGTACTGCATCTGAATGATGGTGTTGAGGCGTGTGACAAGCAGTAAAGGGAAGACAAACAGCCTTTTCCATTGCACCACCACCAGCCTATTCAGCCGGTGGGAAATGATAGATGCTCAGCCTAATTTTAAACTCGGAACTAAATTCTGGCTTCCAGCCGACAGTGATGGGTAACTGGGGCCCAACTGCAGGGGCTAGATAAGATATGCACTCACCTGTGTTGCCACACCTCCAGTGACCTCTCAGCAGCCACACACTGAAAAATGTCTGATAGTAATGAGTTGGTGGTGATATATTGAACTGACTGAGGACTTGAAAGGGCAGGTGATGTAGGTGAAGTTGCATCTGGGAGCTGAGACTGTCACCTATCTTGGCCACAGGTCATGTACAGCAAAAAAGTGAAGTGACCAATTCTGATTGTTTCACTTGTATAACTGAGCAATGTTCTTTCTTCTTTGTTTTCTCTTTAGCACCTGAAAATATAAATATAAAGCTCATTCATAT